CGCCCGCCCGCGTCCCGTCCGTCCCGTCCCGTCCGTCGTCCGTCCCGTCCGGTCGCCGTCCCGCGTCCGTCCGTCCGTCCCGCCGTCCCGTCGTCCGTTCCATTCCGTTCCGTTCCTCCTTTTCCTTCCTTTCCGTCCGTCCGGGTCCCGTTCCGGGCCCTCCTCAGCCTCCTCCGCTCCCGGGTCCCTCTCCCTCAGGCGGCCGCGGCACAGTGCACGAAACCCAACGCAAAGAAGCGCAAATCGCAAAAAAGTTTGAAATTATCAACGTTTTAATTTTACTTTCTCGCTACGCTTTAAGCAGTAGGAAGAAAAGTATGTAATGCTGCGCAAAAGAACGGCGGATTTTCATTAGAAGATCTCTTGTTACAAGACCCTTTTAACAGAAAAGTGCATAAATCCAGTTACTTTAAGGGGGGATCTTTAATCGTGGCGGTAGCCAGAATCGACGTTTGTGGGTCCTTGATAACAAAAAATCGATTGACTTCAAAACGTCTTTTCCCGTCAGGGGGGGGGGTGTGACAACGTTAGTATACACGTTTCAGACCGATAATCATACGTCATGTTCGGCCTATGACTGGCCTCTAACCTCACAGGAGTGGAGATTACACTAGGCCCGGGCCGCAGCCGGCCCTCCGCCCGACGCGCGCTCAAGTGGACGCAGGAAGTGGTGGAGGTGAGGCCAGGTCCTCCTACTGGACGGGAAGTCCATCAACCAGGTGGATGTCCGCAAAAGGATAAAGAAAAAGAAAGAACTCTTTTCAACCATGTTCTGGAACTCTGAAGACGTTGGAATGAATGAACAAGACCAATTTTCACTAAGAAGGAAATCACGGAGAGGAATTTTGTCCATAAAATGTCCACGTCCGCCTCCTGGCCCTCTTCAGAATCGCGATTAGAAACTGCGGCTGATAATAAAGATTTTTTAAAATGAAAACTCCCCAAACCTCTGCTCGACGCGCGCCCAAGTAGACGCTGTAAATGGAGAAGGTGAGGCCAGTGTCTCCTTCTGGACGGGAAGTTTATCAACGAGTTGCATGTCCGCAACATGATAAAGAAAAAAAAATAGCGGTGTTTCACCATGTTCTGAAACTCTGAAGACATTAGAATGAATGAACAAGACCAATTTTCATCTTAGAAGGAAATCATAGATGGAAAAAGAAATTCGGATTTTCTAAAATCGTTTTGCGATCCCTTTCAGAATCACGATTAGAAACTATTACTAATAATGAAGTTTGAAATGGTAAAAAATAAATATCTGAACTAAAGAAAATTAATTGTGTTCCACATTTCATTATAATTAATTATAAATATGTGTAATGCACTTTAGTACAATAGTATGAAGTATTACGTAAGAGTCTCTATGGATAGTTTCTTAAACATGTACGCGAGAGAAATATCGCTTTTCAAAGTTTCATAGGCATTATATATGAGTTTGATTTCGATCTGACATTTTCGACGAGGTACCTCTAATTGTATATAAATGAAGTCAAGTATAAATAATTTAACAAAATAACAACTTTCAGAATGAGACAACGGCGGGTGAGGGTGAAGATTTAATTATGGTTGGGGTGACTTAGTGTGATTACGTAGTGAGAAACAAAACATGTACATTGTTCTATCGTCATCTGTTTGATCTTCAGCGCTTTCTGCGACGTTCAATGGAGATATTTTCATCACTGATGCATGGAGAGAAAACTAAATGAACTGGTAAAACGTTCGTTTTCGTTCATTTAGTTTCGTTACCGAAACAGTAGCGCATAGGAATGAACTTTCTCATCAATTCATTTTCGGTACAGAAAAATGATGAAAAAATGACCGTTTAAGAAAATTGTATGTGTAAAAAATGATCGTCTAAGAAAAATTTATGTAATAAAAATGACCGGGTTTAAGGCAAGATCCCCACTGTTCTCTTTCTGGGAGAGGTGGCTCACGGCTGATGTTATTGCAATGTCTCTGACCGACGTATCATGGGTTCGAGTCTCGAAAGTGACCAGATTTTGGGCACTAGCTTGTCAGCTAGGTCGAATTCAGCCGCTGTCTGGAGGAGAATTCTAGAGGCCAGCTGCTCTGATCGCTAGTTTTCATGGTTTCTCCATTTAACACCAGGCGAATGCCGGAGCAGTACCCTAACAAATAAGCCAAGGAGCGCACGCGATCTTTCCTTCCTATTCCTTGTCCTATCCTCACCCCTTACACACACACTTACATCAACATGCACTACACTATCACACACGCCGGGAGATCGGTCGGAATTTTAGAACATGTGGCTGGGGTGGTACCCCACTGGTGAGAGACACCTGGTTGGGAAAAACCCTGCTAGCCGACGGTAGGTCGGCGCCGGGACTCGCCATCCAGCGGTGGAAGATCACCACTACCTCCTGAAGAAAAAACCTGCACTACATTTATGGGACTAATGATCTCAGTAGTTGACGCGCTCGGAAACACTAACAACCATCCAACCCACTGTCCTCGCAACAACTTGCTGCTCTGACGCTGAAGCCTCGCAACCGGGCGGCATTTCGGGCCCCGCCCTTCTCAGCCTAACGCTAATTATAGGCGGCACGCCCTTCACCGCCCCCGCGCACGCCCGGCCCTCTGGGGACATCGGGGGGCGGCGCCCTTCTTTGCCACCCCCCTCCCTTCCTCGCCGCCGCCGCCGCCGCCGCTCGTCATAAAGTAAACAACGTACAGGCGATTGGCGGACGAGGAAGCGCTGAGTGAATCGATTGCGAGCGTTTAGCGCGACGGTCGCACTTCACGAAGACCCATCCGTTCTGAGGTGTCTGTGCTCGTGAGTCATTCCCACGTTTTTTCATTGTTCTTTTATTTCATTTCTTATTTAAAGAGAAAAAAATGTTAACAACGTCATGTGACTATAGAGAAGAAGTATAAATTGTAAACGTTCTCTTGCGTCCCGGAATCTCTTCTCCGCTTTTTGACAACTATACCGAACTCTGAAAAATGGTAGCAAGCAGGGTTTTTACAAAAATTATATTACATTTGGTTCCGGTAAATAGATACTTCATGAATCGACAAATGAACTGCAAATTTTGGATTCTATCCCTTATTGTGTCTCACGTGAAGGAACTCACTTGGAGAACGATTTGATGCCACGAGAAACTGAATTTCTGTAACACCCCAGAGATCTCAAGGAAACGTGTGCAGGGCAGTATAAGTACATTTATATCCAGATGCAAAACAATCGCCGTTTATTGCTGCAGCACTATTTCATTTTCACTGCAGCACTTAGTTACAATGTATATACGTCTGTTTGCGATAGTCTAACTACTGGTCCAACAAATCATAATATATCTTTAATATTATTCAGTGTAACTATGTCTTCTATGGAATTAAGTATTATTATTATTATTATATGATTATTGTTATTATTAATTACGTGCAGTGCAGGGGCGTTGTGAAACAGAGGGAAACGAGTGTGTAAGAAAGACATTACAGCTCAATGATTCGCAGTGCAGTGAAATTAAGTGTGGTGTAGTGGAGTGCTATGAAAGATTGCACGGTGACATGTTCACGTTAATTTGTAAAGTTTGTTAACATGTTAAGTTCTGTAATGCTAATTTAGTGTATTTTGCCACCACGTTCTCAAATTTAATTGCGTAATTAGTATAGTATTAAATAAAATAGTATTTTAATAAAACTAAAATGGCACATCATTTCTGATATAGTTTCCTGTTCTCTTGAATGGGGACTATCCATTGGCGCCATAAACAAGTATCGCGTTTTCCCTGAACGGTTTAGTCGCTAGCTTTGTTAACAGACGGACAGACATACTGTTTGCCGACATTCGATTTTTTGCTATGAAGGACCCATAAAAAAAGGATTTTGGCTACATCACGCGATAGAAATGTTTTTTTCTAAATTTACCAACTGGATTTATCCACTTCTGGAACATACAGAATTGCTGATTCACACATATTAGACATGTACTCGTGTGTATCTAACATTTGATTTGATATATCTGTGTATTCTGTTAGTCAAAAAATTGAGGATACAACATTAACATTATTATTTATAAACAAAGGTTTTATTAATTTGTAAGTCAGTGTTATACTATATCGTAATTGTTAAATTTTATTCACGTCAATGGAATAAATGATCAGACAGACAGATCCCAGCAGCGGCTATTATCGGCATAATATTAAATTGAACTACAATCCAGGGGAATTACATTCTCTTTGATGGGTGTGGTTTTTCGTCGGTGGAGTATCACTTCCACATTCTTCTGGGAATAGGCTGAGGCCATTAAAATCCGTGTTTGGAGAAGCCAATGTCGAGTGAGCGGTGTATGTATCAACTACGGCAGGTTCGTTTTTGCGAGTCATGGAAATTGAAGATTACAGTTCAACTCCTCTCATAACTTTCAAATGCACTCGTACTTCTGAACGTGCAGATATCTGGAAATAATAATGATGGCCTAAGAAAGGTTTTTTGTTTTTAAGGTAGATCGGAATATACCAATTATTAAAGTACGACTTATTGGACTCATTGGAATTTGGTCGACTTTGGAACTGGCCATCCAGCAGGGGAAGTTCACGGTCTCCTCCCGCGATGAAAACATGCACTACACTTACAGAACGAATGACCTTAGCAGTTGACGCTCCTGGAATCTCTACTTGCAAGCCGACATAGATCAACGTCGGAAATGGCCATCCAGGAGGGGAAGTTCACGGTCTCCTCCCGCGATGAAAACATGCACTACACTTACAGAACGAATGACCTTAGCAGTTGCCGCGCCCGGAATCACCAACCAATCAGTCAACGCCGCGGCCGGAAGGCGTGGGAGGGCGTCTGGGCCACGCCCCGTGCGCCGCGGCGTGGCGCCGCGGGAGGCCGAGCGGACGTCTTTACGGCTGGCCGGCGCTGCGCGTGTAGGTGCAGTGCAGCGCGTGGTGATAGACGATACGATCTCCGATCGACCTATCGCTACAGCAGGCCGCGCCTGTGTCCGACCAGCACTTCATGCATTTTTGTGCTCTCGTGTCCATGGGTGAGACATACAGCGCGTAGAGGTTCGTGCAGAAACTCCTCACGAAGTGCATTTCTATCGTAAAGTCAGGAATAATTTGAAGAAAACAAAACAATATACAATTTTCCCAAAGATATGTAAATTAAATATTTCCTTCGTTTGTATTCTGGATTAATATAAAATTATATTTAATATTTGCTTAATACATGTTTTAAAAGTGTATTCAGTTAACATTACGTGTGTTGTTGGAGAGATTGCTTCCCTAATTGAATAAATAAACAGAAATATGAGGTATTTTTGTTTACTTTCTAAGTATTTCCAATTTCGTGGCGAATATCTTCATGTTTGGCTAGCAGCCATTTAGCAGAAAAACAATGTTCTGCAAGCAGGAATTCTTTGTAAACAAACACCAAGATACCGAAATAACACTGTTCTCCGTAATCATTTGTAATGAAATGAAATGTTCATTAAAGGAAAATTTCACTCGAAAATTTCAGAATTTCTATGTTTACTACTTGCATGTTATGGTTTTTACTTTATAAACTGCAGTAAATCATTAACAATATTTACTTTTTTGAGAAAAATAATGTGGAGGTGTTTTTCTCTTCCAACAGCGTTGTGCTCTGCTAAGCGTTTTACCAACTGCAATCCTAATTTCTCAGAAACATTCGGCAAAATAACCCGAAACCAAACATCTTGCCTTCGTACTGTTAAGCCGGCCAGAAAATTTAGTGCCGCTAATTCCCTCGTCATGCTTATTAATAAAAGTAAATATATCTCCCAGCCGCGCGATACATCAGAACTAACACCACCCCGGTTAAAACCAACACTTCAGCTTAACGATTTACATTGAATATCTCTTACTACACCGTAAATACCAATGTACACCCATGCACTCGCGAGATTCTCCACACCAGAATCTCCCATCTCCGATATGTGCACTGACTGTCGGCTGTTAGTGATCCCGCAGCGACCTCTGAAAGGATGTACGAACTCGTGACTAGACCGCAAACAAATAAATAACAGATCAGCGGCAGTCCGTTTGCCGTTGCAGCGTTTCAGCCCCCCCCCCCGCCGGCCG